GATCTATGACACATGCCCATTGAAAATCACAAACATAAGACTGGCTTCATGGTGAAGGGAATTGTGACCACGAGGCTGACTATGAGGTCTGAGTCCTGGGACTGGGGCTTAAGAAACATGGAAGGCACATGTACGTATGTGCCCAAAGTCTGAAAAGGAGGGAGAAGCGGAGGTGACGGGACTGCGGCATTACTGCCCATGCTGGGTGCTTTCTCCTCTCCCTCTCTCTGGCAAGCTCACACTCCCTTTAGCAAAAAATAGTAATAATAATAATAATGTAATAAAGATTAAGTAAAGGGCATAAAGTTGACCGAATAGATTGGGTGCTGTTAGTATCCCTGAAAATAAGACTTGTCTATGGAAAAGCAGCCTAGATTATCTACAGCAAAAAAATATCTATATTCACTTTTTTAAAAGTTTATTTTTTTCTTTCTTGAGACAGAAAAAGCAACCATGTCCCACACTGCCATCCCTACTGCCCATCCCTACCCTGCCAGCCTTTGCAGGATCAAAGGATCAAGGGCATGGGCGAAGCAGGCCCGGCAAGCTGACCACAGAATGCTGAACGCTGTACCCGGCACTGGCACGGGCACCCGGCACTGCAGAGCACTGAGCTGCGTGGCATGGGGGCTGGACCACCATTCACCTTTCAAAACCGGATTTAATTCCTTTTCCCCCCATATTTTCTTAAATAATCTAACTACTTTCAATAGCAAGTTCAGCTGGTAATGTCAAGAAAAGCAGTTTTAACTTTAATAAGTCAAAGAAATGCTAAGGAACTTTGCTGAAAACTTAGGATTCTGTTCAAATAGTAGGTACATGAATCTATCCACAGCTCAAGACAGGACACAAATCTTTAAAACCAGAAAACAAAGCCTAGAAGAAAATCACCAATGTTTTAGTCAAAAGTCATAAAATACTATTTCACCAGTTCAGTCTCATGTATTTAATCTATCTTCTGTTGTGGTTCGATCTTCCCAATTAAGATTCTGGGATATAATATTCAACTCCAGACTTGTCCCTACAATTAAGTTGATCATTTTTTTTAGTTTTTGAACTCTTATTTCTGTGTCTGTATTTAATTTTCCTGGTATAGCTCTCCCTTGAGAACGTCTTGTATGGGAGGAGGGTGGGAAAGGGCAAAGGGTCAGAAATAGGGGCCATATATATATATATATGTGTGTGTGTGTATGCATATGTATATGAAACTAGAAATGGAAAACTACTGATGATAACGTGCATGATTGAGCCATGATGCAGTATATTCTGAATAGGAAATCACATTTTGTATGCTGTGACGATGCTTAGGGAATTAATGTAAATTCTTTAATTTAAAAAAATGTTTCAGAAAAAAAAAGTTCATGGAAATACTTGTAATGGGAAAACGATGTATGAATTTCAAAAAGTTTTTGTACCAAAAAAAATTTATAATTTAATTGTAAAAAAAATTAAAAAAAGAAATAAAGAATCCTGAGCAAAAAAAAGACAAGCCTGATTTAAGACTTTATTTATGAACTAAAAGAATTTGCATCCTCAGGGACCTGGACACTGGGGGCCAGATGGTGGTACAGAAACAACACGCTCCGTGCAGCTGCCCCATGTGGGTGAATTCCAGGTTTTCCCGGGAGACCTCCCTGAGCATGCCAGGTGCACGTGTACCCTTGGTCTGGGGCTGGCTGGGGCTGGGGGACAACTGCTGCTTAGGGATCCTCCCCCCACCTTCGTTTCTTGCTCATGGAAGAAAGAAATACAAATGAATCTTTAAAAAAGAGTAATACATTGAGCTACCAGAAAAATAAAAATACTGTAACATTCCATTTTAAAAAATCATGAAAGTGGGAACCAGCAGTTAGCGTAATGGCTATGTCGCTGGACTCCCACGTAGTTGACCGTGGTTCGTGTCCTGGACCCGCTGGCTTAAAACTCACGCCGGGCGCGTGTGCATGCGTGCCCAAGATCCCAAGAGGAGAATGGAGGAGAAGGTATTGGGGTGTGACCATTCCCTCTGGGGGGTGATTTCTCACTTTCTGTCTCTATGTCTCTGTCTGTCTGGCGAGCGCACGCGCCCTGTAGCGAAAACCTCTAAAAAAAAAATCATGAAAGTAAATTCTTTAGCTGATCATCAGCTAAAAATAATTGAAACAAAAATATTTTTTATTTGTAATTAAAAGAAATAGTAATTATTTATAACATTTTCTTAATTTTTTTACACATCGGGTCTCATTCTATCAGAACCTCTGCCCAAGGATCCCCCATAGCTGGGACTGCAAGCACATACCACCACACCAGGCTCTTGGGCTGTACAGAAATCAAACCTGGGCCTCCCATGTGGCTTCAGCATGCCATGTAACAGTGTCTACAGGAGCATGTTCCTGAAGCCGGGCCAAGTATTTCTTCATGTTAAAGTGCAATTATAATGTGGAAATATTTCACGTCAACATTTGGAGTTACCTTTTGTGAATAGGGTAGGACCAACCCAGGATACCTGTTACTAGTAAATAACTGATTCTGCCATTCATGTATCAAAGGCTGATGCCCTATTCTGGATTTACTACGGAATAATACATCAGACTACAACTGAGTAGGAAAAGTCCCTTTTTGTCCTTCTCTCTTGGAAAGAGCAGCAAAAATGAGGCTAGACACTTCCCATCACCTACGTCCAAGCGATGGATCATAAAATAAGGGGATCATTTGGCACCATGTGTTTGCTGAACAAATTTGCGTTATTGGTGTTATGTTTCTTATTGGAATGCAGGATGGCAGAACAGTTTTGACTCTGTTCCAAGCAAATGTAACAAGAATGACAGCAGAAGAAAAACACAGAAAGAACACACACAAGAAAGAGAAAAGAGAAGAGAGAGTAATGTCAATAGAATACAAGGTTAGTGAACAACATCAAATAAGAACATGAAAATAAAGTGAATGGTCACTGTTTGGCTACTATGAATGGATCTAAATAATATCTATGTGGGCATATTTTATAGAAAGGATAATGTGTTCATGAAAAAAGCACAACTCTGATTTACACAAAGGAAAACAAATTGACCATGTTTTAATAATTATTTTTCATAAAAGACCACAGAGACGGTAGAAGAAAGGTGGCAAGGAAAACAAGAATGAGACAAGAGAAATTTTAACCTCAATCACAGGAGAAATGTCTTTACTTACAGAGAAAATTGTTTCTCTCTGATAAATATATTAATACTAACAGATCTTAGATTACCATTAGCCTTTATGAACTTGACCCCTTTCAGATTGAAACACACCATTGTGTTTTTCGTGAAGGTAAAAGACCTCTGGGCATTGTCTTTGACTTCCTATTCAACTGTCAAGAAGAGGGTTATTTCATTTTCTAGGTACATCATAATCAAAGTTGATGGTAACAGATAACAGTGACAGAAAAGAAGTTAAGATGCACACAAAGAAACAGAAGCACACTGAAACAAAAACTGTAAAAAAAAAAAAAAACAGGCAGTAGGAAAGTGTGACATGAGAAGAAAGACTAACATAACAAAAAGAGACTGAATCAAAGAAAGAAAATAGAAAAAGCAGAAAAATTGAATAAATTAAAGTATATTTAACTACATCAGGCAAAAATAAAATAGCTAAGAACTCCCCCCCCACCCAAATAGAATAAAACGTGAATGTAATATCATTCTGAAGAGGAAAATTGAAAAAAAAATTCTGAAGATAATTTTCAAAATGCAAACACACATTATCTTAGAATTGGAATTTGCATAAAAGGACATTTTAAAGTCCCATTTAGAATTTTTTTCATTGTCTTATAGGGTAGAACACTGTCATGAGTGACTTAACTCACTATAACATAACACATAGGGTATTTATTCATTTTTTTAAATTAAGTAGTCATATAGCAAATGCACTGTGCTAAAAATCTCATAGGCTCCGAACCTGTATTTAGAGCTCAGAGGAACAGACTAAAGAAAAAAGTAGCTGAAAGCCTAGGTCTCACTTTCATCTCAACCTAGTGACACACACACAAAAGAAAAACACTCAAACGTGACTAGCATTCTGTAAAGACATTAATATAATCCCTCATTTTTTTGAGAGAGAGAGAGAGATTTTTGCTATAGGGCACTTGTGTTCACTGGAGAGACAGAGAGACAGAGACAGAAAGTGAGAAATCACCCCCACAGAGGGGATGGCCATGCCACAATCCTTTCTCCTCCTTTCTCCTCTTGGGATTTTGGGCATGCCTACACAAGCATCTGGCATGAATTTCAAGCTGCTGGGTCTGGGACTCAGACTGTGGTCAGCCATGTGAGAGTCCTGCAGTGTAACCAATAAGCAATCTGCTGGTCCCTATAATCCCTCACTTATGACCAACTTCTCTGATGTCCTTGTAGTCTCAGTTTCCTATTTAACATAACGACTATAGCATCACGTTTAGCCAGCAAATAATTTATAAATATTTGACAGACATCTTCGAGTTCTTTCACTTTGTAACAGAAAACATACACATGTGTGTTCACACACACACACACACACACACACACACAGCAAATAAGCTGTCTCCTTTGCTTTGTATATTTGGGTTCAAACGGTACTTCTCTACTTACTGTGCAAGTTAAGACAAAGTAATCCACCTCTCTAGGTCTTTGTTTACTCATAATGAAATGAAGATGCTGAGAAGATCATCTCCCTTACATTCCTTCCAAGGTTGTTTTACACAGGACAGTGATACAATGCAGGTTAAGTGCTAAGCATGGTGACTGGCACACAGCTAATATTACCTGCTGTTATTGTTGTTATCATTTTGCTACCTGTCTGATTCAGACCCCAGGAATCATTTATGGTTACTGCATCGTTTATCTTTTTCCTTCCCATAAAGTAGAAACGATTGAAAGGCTCTGACCAGGGAACATTCTATATAGCTCATCACATCCCCACATACTGAATAAACAACTGTGTGGACAACTTCCTGTAAGGACTTCCACTCCCTTCAGAACTCACTTAAGCTGCTGAAGTAACATCCTTACCTGGGTAAATCATTCGAAATGCATTTGTAAATTGGGTCCACAGTACTGCCATCTGAGGTGCCTTCGGGACTGATTTGCTGTAATACCGCCATTGTTTCACTCAAGGGGGATAAAGAAGGCTGAGACAGTACTTCTTTGTGTTCTTCCATTTCTGTCTTTGCCATGTTCAGCTAAGAATGAGGAATAAAGTTATTTAATATAAAATATAAGCTTTGCCTGGGTTACAAATTGAGCCTGGGCATTGATGACAATTCACTTGTCATCATATTCTAGACCATACAATTATTTAATAAGAAATGCCAGTGAAGGGGCCAGCAGGTGGTGTGGTGGTTAAGGGTGCTGGACTCCCATGTGACCCATTGTGGTTCAAGTCCCGGATCTAGCGGCTTGCTTTCTCACTTTCTCTCACTCTGTCCCATTCTGATCAAATTAAAAAAATAAATAGACAAATAAAGTTAAATAAAATAATTCTTTAAAAAGAAAGAAAAAAAATGCCAGTGAAATTAACACTGAAGCCACATGGGAAAATTGCAGGTTTGTGTCCCGGGCCTCCTTGTACAGGCAAAGACCACACACTTTTGTATCCATCATCTGAGCTGGATAAGGTTGCAAGTGGATCATGGCATGAGGATGCTGTTGGGGGGGGGTAGTTTGTTTGTCTTTCTCCATCTCTCTCTCTCATAGAATAAACTTTCATTAAAAAGAAACAGAGAGGGGCATACAGGTGGCATGGTGGCTGAGGGCACTGGACTCCCATATGGTCAACTGGTTCGAGTCCCAGACCTGATGGCTTGATCCCTCTTTCTCTCTCTCTCTCTCTGTCTTTCTCTGGTCAAAATTGAAAAATAATAATAAATTATTTTTTTAAAAAGGAATTAAAATAATTCTTTTTAAAAAGAGATGAGAGCCTAAAGGAAGGAAAAATATAAATCCAAGTCTATAATTGGTATAATCCTATTAAGAGAATAAAATGCTAATTTGCTACATAGTATTTTCATTTTTGCTGTTTGCTAGAAAACTGCTCATATAAGCAAACTTACCTAGAGAATATGTTACCAAAAAAGCATAGCACAATGATTTTTTTGTTTTGTTTTGTTTTTTCTGGTCTATCCTTTATCCCATGATTTTTGGAACTTCTCTTCCTCTTGCTTCTGATGGGGCTATCTATTATGTGGTGTGGCCTTCAAAAAAGCTGGCCAATCTAAGTGTTCCATTCCTCAGACACAGAGACTGGTAACTCAGAGTCTCAACGAAGAAGAAAAGTAGTGATTTATTCTCTGGGATTGTTAGCTTCTAAACAAAAAAATGTCAACCTCCACCATTGAGAATGAAGCCAAAACAGATGAGAGCTGATGTGGAAGGTGGAGAGAGAGGTTCCTGAAAACGATATCTGAATACCTGAAACCAGTGATTAAAAACCACATCTGTTGAGATTCCTAGGTACATGAGCCTACAGTTTCCTCTTCTCACTTAAGCTATCCTAAATTGGGATTCTTTTATTTGCCACCTAAAAATCTTGAGTAATAAACACAACCTAAATTTTCTTAAAATCAAAACAGTATGTCCACAAGAAATAATGCCAGGGCCAATAACTAAACTGTATAGATGGCAGATAGTGGTAACTGCTGTGAGGAAAAAAACAAATTTGATGAGAGGGAGCCAGGCTGTCCCCTGGTAATGGCTGGATCCCACATGCAATTTGACTCAAGATCTTGAAAAATACACCATGTGCGTGTGCATGCATGTCCAAAATCCTGAAAGGAGAAAAGAAGGAGAAGGGACTGCATGAGAAATAAAATTCTATCTTGTTTGAACAGTTTGGTCTTTTTATTCAGCATCTTATATTAAGTTACTTTCAAGAACCTAAAATATGTAGGTTCTTGAGCAGGGAAATGAGAACATTAAGATAACTTAAAACCTAAATTCAACTCAGAGACCAGTAATTTGGAACTTTGGGACTTGCAGGTTTGAAGAATTCAACCATCTTGAGAATTTAGTATCCTAAGCTGAAACCATTAAAACTCTAAAGTGACAATTTTAGGAGTCAAGACTATACCCCTAACCTTTTAAAAAGGACTTTCCCTTATTAATTCTTTTGTCATAAAACTAAACCAGCCTCGCTGTCAAAATCAGATTAAGACTGCTACCTTCTCATCCAAGTTTATTGTGGTAGAAGACCTCAAGGGAGTCACATTTATGATGAGGGAGAGTCGGGCATAGAATAAAGGGAAAAAAAACAGTACCCAGTCTTTACAATAGTGTCTAGAAGTGATCTTTATCTGTGAACTTGGGTTCATCTATAGATTGGAAGCCTACAAATGTGGGGGGAGATGCAGGATGTTGAACTGCTAAAGAAGTCACAAACTGGCCTAAAGTCTTGCAATTGAACTCAAAATCAGATCTCAAGCCCATGTTGGTATAGGCAGGAAGCAGAGCATAAACTGTGCAGCAGTCTAGAACGGCAAATTTTCCATGGACCAACTGAGATATGGTTAGGGAATATAATTTATAAAGAAGACCCTTTCCAAATGGCAGAACTAGGGGTATTCTAATGAAGTAATCAAGGAAATTGCTCTACCACCAGAGAAAAGAGACTTTACAATTCCCCTAGCTTAGCAGCATTGATAACCATATGGACCAGTGACTGTATGCCATATTCTCTTTGCAAATACACATTCACTGCATGTTGGGTGCAATGCGGAAGATGTATTGACTTTCAGTTTATAGGTAACCAGACCACCTGAATTTAATGATAAGGATTATGTCTCAGCCCAAGCACCTGAATTTTCAGTCATATTCAAAGTTGGAATAGGCATGTATGACAAAGCATAGGTCTTTGTCTTCCTGTGTTCTAAATATAGGAAGAACAAGGTACCAAAGACACTTTGGTGGCCAAAAGGTTGGATTGTGAAAGAAACTGTTAGATGTCCTCTAAAATCCATTCTCCTCTTTTATAGACTTAAGAGTATCCAGCTAACACTGTCTTTTCAAGTAGGTGTAGTAACACACCCACATGAATAAGTTCTGGTCAGTGGAATGTAAATAAAAATGGTATATGTATTTTCTGGAAATTGTCACTAAAAAAGAAGGATGAGGCATAACTGTTGGTCTTTCTTTCTTCCTTCCTGATGTCTGGAATGTGGTCATAGCTAAGAGCTGTAACAGCCATGTATGATTGTGAGTGGAGCATCTGAGACTGTAGGAAAAAAAGATACAATAGAGCAACAAGATGGAAGGGCCCTAGAGCACTCTACCAGCTCCCCAGATCTTTACATGAGCAAGAAATATATCGCTTTTTCCCCCTTCAATTCTTTTTCTTTTTAGAATTTATTTTTTATTTAACTTTATTTATTTATTTTAATTTGACCAGAGAAGGAGAGAGAGAGAAAGAGAGAGAGAGAGAGAAAGGGTAGAGAAGTGAGAAAGCAAGCCACCAGGTGTCTGGGACTCAAACCAGTCACCCACGTAGGAGTCCAGCGCCCTCAACCACTACGCCACCTGCCGGCCCCCAATATAAACTTTTAAAAAACATCTTGTCTACTCTATTTATTCCCAGTCACCAGACATTTGCTCAAGCTGTTCCTACTTTGTGAAATATTTAGAAGGCTAGAAGGCAATTTGCTATCATGAAATACACTTTTTTGTTCCCTATTCCAGAAGTTTATCTTTAAGTTGATCGTTGTTTTAAACAAAAAATAAATTTTCCTTTGTGTTATGATCAGAATGTTTGTTATCCCCCCAAAAAGTGTATGTTGAAACCTAATATCCACTGTGATAGTATTAAGAGGTGAGACCTTTTGGGAGAAGAGTATGTCATGAGGGTGGAACTCTCCCTTTCCACCATGTAAGGACACATGAAGAAGCCACCACTATGAGGAAGTAGGCCCTCTCTAGATACCGTTGTTTCCTTGACCTTAGACTTACCATCCTCCATAACTCCAAGAAATAGATTTCTGTTACGTGTTGCTCATTCTAAGGTATTTTGTTCTGCAGCCAAAACAGACTAAGATACTATAGAAATAAACATATACATCCATCAGTTTCCTTGGCTAATCCATTAAATCCTAGTAATATATGATGTATTTCTCCAGTAATATAGTTATAAAATATTTTATGAGAGCTGAGACTGTCTTGTTTACTTTACAGTGAACATCACAGAGCTTAATTCAGTGCCTGACCCATACTAGGTGCACAATCAATATTGGTTAAGGAAATATGGTAAATTGTACTTCAGATGCCAAGAACACATTTATTCACTTCCGCAATATTGGAATTACAGAAGAAAAGTTCCTTACAGGACTAAAGTAAATAATTAAGGCAAAATTTAAATACTAATTCTCTATATCTAAACTGGCCAAATAGTTCATTATCCAAACTAGGTCTGTCCCTAACAAATAAAAAGGTGTGATCTCCTATCTTTATATAAACAGCCTCCTTTTACAAGAATAAACACAGCTATAGGTCTGCATAGCTGCATAAGTATCTATGGGACTTACGAAGATTTAGTGTTTTCTGATTTTTTTAAAGAAAGTACCAAAAAGTCAGTTTTTGTCTTGATGGAAAGATAAAAGGTATTTGTCTTCCTGTGTTCTATATATAGGAAGAATGATGTACCAAAGACATTTTGGTGGCCAAAAGGTTGGATTGTGGAAGAAACTGTTAGATATCCTCTAAAATCCATTCTCCTCTCCTCTTCCTCCTTGAGGAAGAATGGAAGCATAAGTTTTTACAAGCTCCACTCCCAGGAGTGAGTAGACCTTCCTATTTCAGAGGGATGATATATGAGCCTTTTTGTATTTTCGATTTCTGGGCCTCATAGACTTTGAAGTTAAATTGCTAGATTTTCCAGGATATGAACAAGGTTAATAAGAAGTGGTTTGCACGCATTTATCCCAGCACAACTCCTCTGGAACAGTAAGGCCGGAAAGAAAATAGCTATGTGGGATGCATGTGTGTACATGATAGAGAAGGAGAGAGATAAAAGGAAGAAGAGAGAAAGGGAAAGAAGGATGGAGGTGGGTGGGAGGAAAAATGGCAGAGATCGATTTGAAAGACTGTGATCTGTGATCTGCAGGGCCCAGTAAAGGACGATCTGGTTGAGCATAGTACCTAAGGAACAGAGTTATCCTCTCTGATGGTTCATTTTATACTCCAACTTGGCTGGGCCATG